ATATATATATATGACAGCATGATGGAGTCTAATCTCCATAGACTACCCACATATTCCTTCAACTTTTCTATTGTGTGCATTAAATCAAATTAACACTATAAGCCTCTCTGCTGGTTGCTCCTGACTGGAGTGAAACCACAGAATTATGTATATCATTTTGTCTGGTCAGATGTAATTACATTAATAAATAAGGATTACAAAGCCAATGGCTGACATTATAAACAGCAACAAAATGCTCTCAAATCAAATTCATACTTGGGAATACAGTACATAACTTTATGTACTGTGCATCGCTCTTGCCTTGTATAACACGGGTAGTTTTTTGTTTTGCTGTTTGTTGGCACCTTTTTCCACATGGTTTGGAGTTGTGCAATAATAATGGTCTTCTGGGAGAATATTACAACTTCCCTGGGTTAGTTTATAAGTCACAACATCCCTTGCCAGCCAGTGCTGAAACCACAATTAGATATGGTGTTTTTTGGTTGTTTTTTAATAACTTCACTAACAACAACTGGCTGCATAGATACATAAACCCTGCAAAGAATAACAATTCTGAAAGAATAACAGTAATAGAAGGACATAATAGACCTTTTTCACAGCTGACATTATGGCTTGTGTGCAGAAAAAGCACAGGTGCAATTAACATTAACGATGGCTCTGTTCCATTAAGTGTCACAGTAAGCCATTCCTGTGGGACAGCACGTACTGTACCTTAGGAGGAATGCTGCCGCCATTAATGTTATTAGATCTCCAGGTGCTTTTATGTGTCAAAATGTCTGGCGCGAAAAGGTCTTTTTTCATAACAGCCTACTGTTGGTTTTCACCCTGTTGTGCTGGGCTGCTAATAGTAGCCTTATGTCAAAGCGGGGAAAGCACAGGTGTAAACAACAACGTTATCAATGGCTCCGTTTTCCATATGCAACAAAGAGGCTTTTGGCGCAGCCAGTGTTAGACACGAGCAAGAGGCTAGAATTAGTTCTAAAGCCAAAATAAACTAATTGCATCATGTTTGTTTGCAGAAAG